TAATTGCTAGAGATGTTGAACATTTTTTCATATATTTGTTGATTGATTGTATATCATCATCTGAGAAGTGTCCATTCAGTTTCTTGGCACTTTTATTAATTGGGTTATTTTTTGTTGTTGGTTTTTTTTTTGAGTTTAGCTTTTTGAGTTCTTTATATGCCCTAGAGATTAGTGCTCTATCTGATATACAAGTGGTAAAGATTTACTCCCAAGTTGTAGGTTCTCTATTCACCTCACTGATTGTTTCTTGTGCTGAGAAAAAGCTTTTTAGTTTGAATCCATCCTTTTACTAATTCTTGATTTTAATTCTTACACTATAGGAGTTTTATTAGTGAAGTAGGGGCCTAATCCAATGTGTTGGAAATTTGGGCCTACTTTTTCTTCTGTTAGACACAGGGTCAATGGTTTAATTCTTAGGTTCTTGATTGACTTTGAATTTAGTTTTGTGCATGGTGAGAGATAGGGGTTTAACTTCATTTTGTTGCATATGAATCTCCAGTTTTCCCAGCATCATTTGTTGAAGAGGTATCTTTTCCCCAATGTATGTTTTTGGTGCCTTTGTCTAATAGAAGATAATTGTAATTATGTGGGTTAGTCTCTTTGTCCTCTATTCTGTACCGTCAGTCTACCAGTCTATTTTGGTGCCAATACCATGCTGTTTTTGTTACTGTTGCTCTGTAGTATAGTTCAAGGTCTGGTACAGTGAAGCTACCTGCTTCACTGTTCTTGCTAAGGATTGCTTTAGCTATTCTGGGTCTCTTATTTTTCCAGATGAATTTCATGACTTATTTTTTTTCTATTTCTATAAAGAATGTCATTGAGATTTTGATTGGAATTGCATTCAATCTGTATAATGCTTTTGGTAGTGTGATCATTTTGACAATATTAATTCTGCCTATCCAAGAACAAGGGAGATCTTTCCACCTTCTAAGGTCTTAATTTCTTTCTTTAGCATTCTGTAGTTTTCATTATAGAGGTCTTTCACCTCTTTTGTTCAGTTGATTCCCAAGTTGTTTTGTGTTTTTTGTTTGTTTGTTTGTTTATTGAGGCTATTGTAAATGGGGTAGTTT